GCCTCCCAATAAAAGTGTCCGCGGTCCCGCCGGCCCTCTTTGATCCACCAAGCTTCAGTCGCTCGATTAAAACGGTCGCAACGCAATGTCAACCAAGAGGAAAAAGTACTTCCTCGCCTTCGACGACGAAAATTTGGAGGACGCTCCTGAATCAGTTCGGAAGTATTTGTGCGAGAAGGGTGCTCCCCAACCGACAGACGATGACTCCCCTCCTTTTGGGCCACCGCGGGTTGACGAGGACTCGTTTCGGGGGCATACAGCTCGACGTGGGGCGCAGCCTCTTGAGCAAATTAAAACGCAAGTCAAACGTTATCTAAAGGATCAGGGAGACCAAGAAATTCGCACTTTTCTCAAAGATCTTGGATTGCTAGATGGCCTTCCCAGCGAGGGGCCGTCTAAGAGGTCCGAGGTCGACGCTATCTCGAGGTTGCGAGCCGAAAACGACCAGCGGGAAGCCGAAATTGCGGAACTGCGCGCCGAGGAAGATCGGGCCAGGAAGTTGGAGGCCGAGATTCAGAGACTTAAGCGACAGAAAACGCACATCCAGGACCGGTGGACGAAGAGAGCAGCAGCAAGTCGAGGAGCGGGCGAACCAAGACCAGGTGGTCGAGCTGCTAGCGAAACTTGGAAAACAAGCCGCCGAAATTGCGGAGCTTAAGCGACAACGCACAGCTGGTAAGCAACCCCCTGGGTAACCGACGAACAAGGACCTAACGATCGATATAGATGCGGTTCCTTTGCTCCGTTTGGTGCCGGTGGGCCGAGCTCGCCCCGACGACACCAACGATAGTGGCGATGAGTTGTCAGGCGCGGATCCCCGGCCGCCTGCCACAACATCGCCAGCAGCATTGACGACGGCCGCCGCCGCCTTGTCGCCGGCCACCCCGGGCAGCAATGGCGACAGTGGCGATGAGATGTCAGATACTGCCCCCCTGCCGCGTGCCTCGACCGGGGCGCAGCCATATCCAGACACCGTGCCGGCATCGCGACCTCACATGGGCGACTCCAACCCCTTGCAATCCAGCCCTGCGCCGCCTGCAGTGGCAAACTCATTGTCGGCGGGGAGCAGTTCCAGCAATCTGGC